TTTCTTCATTCAGCACCCTCCCCCTTCCTGCCCCAGGCTCACCCCAGCTCCCCAGGTTTGGCTGTCTCTCCTTTCTCCAAGCTAGAATCCCACAGAATTGTAGCTGAGAGACCAAAACCGAGGCCCTTAAAAGGAAAGGGACTTGCCCAAGGTCACACAGTGGGGCATCTGGCTATGAACTCAGATCTGAGTCTGAAGTCTAAGCATGGAGGGAACCTCACAGAGTAAGAAGGAAGACACCGCAGCGTGCACCTCTTCCACCATCTTGTCCCAAGTCCATCTGGGCAGTTTAGTGGTGGGACGACAAGCCGTGCTGCCCAGCCAGCTGACCACAGCCAGACAGACCTGTCATGAATCTAGGTGACTCTTTTGGCCACAGCATACCCAACAAAGCAGCCAGGGCCTAAGGTTGCCTCTGAGCAGTGCAGGGTGGCACTTAGGCTAAAACGCGACAACATCAAGTGTGCAGAAAGAAGGTGGGTGAGCCCAGCTTAGAGGATGTTCATAGAGAAAGACCTAGGATTTTTAAAAGGCCCTCTGAAAGGTAAATAAATGTTAGCACAAGCATCTAACTTGATGTTTAGCACACAGTAAGTTCATAATCAATGTTTGTTGAAGTGTAGTATGAGCCAACAAGGTGATAGAGCTACAGAGCCAAGCTAACACAGGCTTAGGTCACATTAACAGAAGCACAGAGCCTACCATGAAGAAGGTGACCCATATCTCACCATCTCCCATCCTAGGTTTGATCCTAGGTTTTGAACAGAATAGAGTCTGGACAAACAGAGATAATCCAGGGGATGTGTGTGGGGGGGGGGGTATTAAGATCAGACCCAGGAGAAGTGGCTGGAGGAGCAGGGCACTACTTTGGGTGGTCATGAGCACTCTGCCAGGAGAGGTGGCAAGCTGAGGAATGGCAGAGGTTGGCTTAGATGTCCTTAGCTCAGAACCTATTAGTCTTTCAAATTATAATCTCCAAAGTACCGGAGGAAAATGTCAGTCTATGTCTCTCTACTTAACTTTTGACTAAAGACAGTTAAACAGTATATAGTTCAACCTTGATGTGCACCCCCAGCTGTATACCAGATACTGAACATCATGTCTACTACGGGGGAGGTTCCCAGGGCCACCGGGAAGCTGTGGCCTTGTCTTTCGTTTCTCTACCTTCAGCCTACTGCCATACATTGTGGTGCCAGGTTGGCTAGATCTGAGGATTAAACAATGCATTTTAAGCCAATCAGCCTCCACGGAATGGACAAATGGCTTCAAAGAGCCCTGCAGAGAAACTGAGGATGGAGATAACGCCAACCGAGAAAATACAAGCAGGCAGCAGGAAAAGTGCGGGACAGACCGCCGGCCACTCAAGTCTTGCGTCAGCCACCTTACCAACTGAAAACAACAATGAATGGGATCTCATACGCTCAGTATATTGCCGACTGACATAAGAACAGAAAAACTACTCTAGAGGTGGACTCCCATCCACTATTGTCCGTGATTAATTTCATTCCAAGTGTATATTGGGCCTTTAGACATTAGTCAATCATCACGTACTTGTATGTAATTTCTAAGTCAGTAAATATGTATCTGTTGGGGGTGCCTAAAGCATTTTTCTGGAGAAGCGTATGCAATCAAAAAGTGTGACAACCACGGCTCCAGATCCTTAAACCCAGCGAGACACTAGGGGACACTGCTCCCTCTTTGGGTTATGGGTTTGAATCAGATTTGTTTCAGATTTAGGAACAAAGAAAAATTAGGGGGGCGGTGTAGCCCCCAGTAAAAATTTTAGAGCCCCTCCCTGCCCCAGTGTTTGCAGATTAATGCGAAGAAACCAAAAACTCTGAAAAGGTTTTCCCCAGCTCTGACTTTCCAAGGTGGGTGCCTATTTAAACAGCCAGAGCCAGGGGCGTCTGGGTGGCTCAGTCGGTTAAGCATTTGACTCTTGATTTCAGTTCAGGTCATGATCTCACAGTCATGAGACTGAGCCCCTACACTGGACTCTGCACTGAGCTC